TATTATATTGATATAATATTATATTTATATTGATGTAAATGACATTGGTTTTATTGGGACCCATGTTCTCTATCCTTGAACCGTAGCGGCCGGTGTGGGCTTGTTCTTGCTGCCAGTGACTGTTTGTTGCAGAAACTGCAAGTACTATCATGAACATATTTTTTACGAATATAATAATTAATATACACGTATTCTGTAGATGATATGTTCATTGTATGTTGCATCATATTTTATCTACCAGCTAGCCTATCACTTTCCAGACATCTTATTTCATTTCTAAATGTTTGCAACATACAAGTCAAAAACTGCTGAACTCGGTAGGCCTAATTTGAAATTACTTATTATGATTTTCACTGCAAACTCTCTAAATATACGCAGCATTTGCGCAAGTGTAGAAAAATATCACGTCTGGCGTTGTCATAACGTTTCGTGTGATTGTACTTTTATTAGGGTCTTGATTAATTTGCAGAATAAACGAGTGAACAGAATATCATCTCACAATGAGTAAGGGGTCAAGGAAAGGTGGTGGGTCCAGTAAGTATTACACATAAATTAGTTAATGCCACCACTTGAGTATCACGTCCTTTAGTTCATCGCAGATAAAAAGGAACTAAACTAGATAAAAACCAAATGAGAAAATTAAATGAAAAAGCAGACTCTACTCTGCATCTACCAAGGTATTCTCTTCTGACTACTACTGCTACTAGTACTACTACTACTACTACTTGAACTATATATTGTTACTAGCAACACAACCACCATCATTACCTACTTACTGCTACCGTTATTGCTGCTACTGCTGCTGCTGCTACTCCGGATGTTGCTACTGCTACTGCTACTATTGCTGCTGCTGCTGCTACTCCTGCTGTTGCTGCTACCGCCACCGCCACCGCCACCGCTACTACCATTACTATGACCACTACTATTTCTGCAGGCCACCACCAGCAGCAGCAGGAGGACACGGATGTAAACAGCGCGCGAAGCAAGCTTGGTGACGTCCTGCTCAACCTGGTGCTGAAGAAAGAAGACGAACCGTCACCGCGATCCGACGTTGCCGACGACGACGACGATGCTGCGGCGGCGATGCGGCAGACGCTTGACGCGGGGGCGTCCTCGGTGAAGTACGTGCGTCGCGGAGGTGGCAGCGTGCAGGGGTAGAAATTAACTTTTGAACTTCTTCTTCTTTGTTCTAGTCTCTCGCGGATAGTCCACGCTGAGACGTCAGCTATTTTGACTCAACCTCCCTGTTCAGGGTTCTCCCCCGGATGAAATTGAAATGGGGGGGAGGGGGAGGGGGAAACTGGGGGGGGGGGGGTTCGGGGGGCGGTGTTTTTTTACCTATACCACTAATGTGTAAAATCGCCACCCTCACGCCCAGCTCTGGGTACTCCTTCTCCCCGACTTCCTCTCTCCTCTCTCTTAATCCGACCCCGTGTGACCCATTCTCGCGGCACCTTCTCCACTTCCACTTCGCTTTCCACCAGCTGGATTGTTGTCGGGCTGGTTCGCATCCTACTCTCGCGCCCTTGACCTCCATACTCGGGTTAGAGTCGGCGTGTCCTCGGCGAAACTGACGCTGTGACCTCCGTCGCATTCTCCACCAGATTCTCGGCCCTGCCTCCTTCGAAGAAGAGCTTTCATCTGCAACGTATGGTGTCTGAGCACACCCCAGCTTCTCCCCTCCTTCCTTCTTCACCACTTCTCCTCGCCTCATTCTCCGATCAGCGTTCTCGCCTCCTCGCGTGATATCATGAGATAAGAGCAATTCTATCACAGATCCAATTTCGTGCTATCACTCCATATTTGAACTACAAGTAAGCCGTCTGGACATGGGCGAGAACGCCTTCACTGAGTTATGTACAGTGCTTCTCCGACGGTAATCCGTAAACAGCTTCATAAGCAGACTGTTTACCATCCCTGATGAATATCATCAACCCTTCTTCATTCTCTCACAGCTTCTCTCTCCTACAGCGTTAGGCTGCTCTGCATGCAGCGTATAAGAGCACTGACCGAGCTGACTAAGATCATCTACGTGTACACTTTCTCCTCGCTAAGATTAACCTTCTAACAGTCGTCTAGGTGTCTGTTTTGAGTTCTGTGTGAATTCCCGTGTTCTTTTACACTTCTGTCTGTTTTTCTGCCTGAAACTCGCTACGTTAAACGACTGTACATCTGTTATTCCCGATGCAACCTTAGTCATCTCGTTCGCGCCCATAAGTCTTTCGTTTTCTCTCCATCCAGCCTTATCCCCGAAGATTACCTCGACACATCGATGAATTTTCCCCGCCCTCTTCCTTCTCAGTATTACAGATGCATCTAAGATATATCTGCATATATATCGACTTCCACTCCCCGAGTCTTACACTAGAGACAACTTCTCGAGCAACACGATCACGGTACAAAAGCTCGGATGTCTTAGCTGAACCGTGGAAATCGCTATATTTTGAGCATATTTCGAAGCTGCGCATGCCATGACCGCATCCTATAGTCATATGATTTCGCCCAGGACTTAACAGGATGTATTTCTTAACCGATAAAATTCGTTCTTCACCAGCGAGAGCACGAAAGATACAGAGGATAACCGACTGAATGTCAATCGCTGTGATTCAGTCTAGCGGAACTAATAGCCGCCAGGTGAATTAGTGAGGGTATCGAAAACCAAAATTTGTATGCGAGCCGGATACCGCTGCTAGATGCAAACGTAGGTCGATATTCGCGTCACTACATATCTCACGCGCGCGCAGTCGTTAGCCTCGTGTGGGAGCTATCCTATGCATGATAAGATAAAACAGCAGCTGCAGACCGTTCTAGAGAAATTCGAGCAGCTGCACCTTTCTATACTCACTGCAACCAAATAGGATTTCGCTTAGACAATTTCCAAACTACAGTTGCTATCATATCAAATTCATTGTGATGATATGCACGCTGCTAAGCAAGAGGGTGGTCTTTCGAACTGTGGGGGGCGAAGCATTGATTTTGCTTGCCCGTTAACAGTCGTCGCTGCTCTGGCGTGCATTGTGTAGCAAGTGCGGTAGTTCACTCACAATGTAAGTGATGGAAAACGACAGGATAGATTATGTTGATAAATACTTTAATGTACAGGGCAGATATTATCGAATAGCATGAAAACATATGACACGGCTGTAGAGATGGTCTGAGACACGTGACTACCGGCACACCCAAGCACCCCACCGCCGCCTCCCCTCCGCCGGCCATACGACCCCACACGACACAACACAGCCGCCGCGGGGAGCGCGGGGGGGGGGATCGGTAGCGGGGAGTAATGTACGTCGCGATACGTTAGTTAGCTTTGAGTTCCTGACTCAGCCACAGCGATATCACCGTATAGCCGATTACCGCGCAGCGCACAGCAGTAAATCGTCCATGGCGATGGCGGCTCACAGTACATCTACGCATCGAGTAGCCTCCAGTGTCGCTGTTGCGTCCTGCTCTTTCTTCCCTCTTCTTCCGTCGCGATCGCCTGCGCGGGGCACACACACACACATTCTTCGTCGGGGCACACCACGTGAGTGGTGACGATCACCCCCTGTATCATAATATTATCTATAATACTCTCATAATAATCGGATCCAGGGGGCTCGAAATCACAAGCGAATGGTCCGATGGTCCCCACACACGACACGGACACAGCAATACTCACAATCATGACCAGAGAATGGACCCTCAGATTTTCAAAGTCATATGGTCCGACGGACCATTGAACGTTTTTGGTTTCACACCTATTTGATTGCAGCTGGCATTGCATGTAGTCTTCTTATCGTTGTGGAAGTTTGTCGCGATCGTCAACGATATTTCTGAGATATGAAAGGTGAATAACAACTTCTGGTAAGCACTGGAACGGAATATGAGTTAGAAAACTATACATTCTTGTTATCGTTATGTTTCGAGAATAATTTATCTTTAATACTGATTTTAGTATATACCATTAGTAGAATTCTTTTCTTATAATATGTCTTTGTGCGATCACAACCAGCATGTTTAATCTCTTATTTATGTAGTATATTATACAATTTCTGCAATTTAGAGTATACTTGAACGCATTACTCTAAAATTTATATAGAGGTCAAACATAACTCAAGATTTTAGTCATATACCATTAGCATCTTGATCCTAATTTATACCTAAATTTGTACCTTTTATAAAATGATCAGAATTGGTATATCGCTCTTACACATAGTCAATTGTAAGATCTGCCCAGGAAATGGCCATTCCGAGGCTCTAATTAATGCAACAGGCGCAATATCTATGTCTGGAGGATGGTTTAGCGCCCGCCATAAGTATTTTTTCAGCAAATGCCCAAGAACTCTTCGCAGCAGCGCTCGCAATTCCCGGATGGCTGTCGATCGCGTGCTCGTGTTAGAGATGCGCTAACAGCTCGTCTGTTAATTGCGTGGGTATCCAATCACTCTTCGGTGAAGTCATTTAGTAACTTCAGATTGCGTACGTCCACTCTTTCGCACTCATTATTCTTGCACATGGGGATTAATCCTACATTTTTTGCAGCTGGCACCCTCTATGCTCTGGGACGCGCTCCCGTTGCCCACCTATCTCACTTGGCATCAAAGGTGTTCCAAGTTCTCTGTGACGCTATTGCCATGGGAAGGGTCGAATCTCTGTATAAAGCCCCGCGTACGTCGTCCGTGCACAATGCGCGACGAGACCTCCTCGTCCAGTCCAAATATTTTCGCTCAGTATGCCAGTATAGCGGCTCAACGATAATTCAGGAACCGTTTGGACCCACTGTTTGAAATTGGGTATACAGCAAGCCTTTTTAGATCGCAAATACTTGCTTATGGTCTACTGTCCACCATTAATATCATAAATCGTCCCTATTTTGGACACGATTAACTGAGTCACAGTAACAAGTTACTATTCTATAGCGCCATCACGTCCATTTCAACCTGGGCCGGCGGCATGAGTTTTTTATGTTCACAAAAAATGGGGTAAATTTGTTGGAAAATATACTCAGCTCTCCAACAGTGTTTCATGTCGACAAACTGCTGCAGTTCGATATGCTTGTTGCAGCATTTTTTTTTCGAGGTGCCATGTGATACTCGGACCATATCAGCAACGAGGTGGCCCATGCGAGGGTGGCGGCGGTTTGATATTATTACACAAAAACATTCATTGGCAAATTGGTAGGGTTTGGCAATTATATAGGCATATTAATATAGCCAAGCAGATAACAACACAGTCTGTGGTGTCACACTCGTCTGGTTTCGTTTTACAATATTTTCATTGACAATAACTTGCCTAATGCAAATTCCTGGCTATTACATATTTATGATTTATCACTATTATTATTATATTAGTATTCATTCAGATCTAATGATTTATGCTAAGAAACATCAAAACGGTGGGTATCGCGTCACGGGCGGCAGGCACAAGATGAAAAACCATTGTGCCGCGTCAACGTCACCTACCGTCACAAATTGTGAATTCATTCACTTTTGTCGCAAATTTTCCTCTAAATATTTTGTTTTGGAAACACAGTTGTCGTTTATGCAAAATGTTTTACTCACTATCTCACCTGCTTTCATTGTGATGGGTTTTTTTTTAAATTGTGCATACACGGCACAAGTGAAAATAGGAAGCAACCTAGAGTTTATTTTGTCATATAGGTAGGTGTGGATTATGGCATGAACGAAGTTATTGCTTAGTCTAGTACTTAAATAAATATGACAAGAAACACAATTAGCCGCATTATTTGAGTCCATGCGACATTGTGCGGACTGTTATCACTAGCAGATTACCGGAGGTGGCAGCTCTAACGACTCCACTCTGACTAATACGCTGCGTGTACGCTGTTCGGCTGAGTGAATGTAGCCGGATTAGCCGTGAACAATATGGAATTTTGATGACGACAATTAGAGACGTGTTAGATGCTGAGAATATACTGACTATCTGGTCTCTTACGCTATCTAGAATTACATTTGTGTCCTTCTTTCAGAAGTGGATTAGCTACGCCGTCAGTTGTGACCGGATCTCGAGAGAGACTGTCTCGAGCTTTCGAGTACATTTAACTTCCACTATCTAGTGGCTGTCCGAAGGGCAATTTTGTTCATAGAAAGAATTGGTAAAGCCTCGTCTGATTAAAAAACCACCAATTATTATGAACTAGTATCAATATCAGGCCGAGTATGTAAGTTATTAGGCTAAGAGCACTAGGGCCCACATAGCAAAGTGACCCTGCAGATAACAATTAGGTGAGAGTTTCCCTATGGTGTTCGCGCACACAGAGGCTCATATGGTCAACTGACGTAGAAATAAGTCTTGCCGTTAAAATACACTGATGTCAGCAAACATATCGAGTGGGATCGCTTAGGTGCAATGTACGAGCAATTATGTCGATGTGTTAATCAGCCCATTCCTCAGTCAGGCAAGATACACGCCTGTTCTGATTTCATCAAAATTTTTACCGGGTGGGTGGAAAAATTAATTGTTCTATATTTCTCATGCGACAAAGCAGACGCCCCTCTCCTAAACGTTTCCGCGCCAAACCTGACGGGCGTACCCGCCCCCTAGTATCTCAGTAGAAAAAAATCATCCAATCGCTCGGCTCCGTAATCTCATACCCATCACAAAGTGTTACTAGTTTAAAACAGAATCTAGTCATAGCCGTACGTTTTTAGAACAATCAATCCTATAAGGAATTCCCTTCGCCAGTCATCATTACTATCAAATAAGTTAAATTGACTTGTCTATATCGCAATGAACCCAACTCCCGATCGCAAGTCCTCTTGACACACTCGTCCTCTCAGTAAAAGGCACAAATTCGAGTCGGTGCCTAATAGGAAATTCCTCATATTCGCGACAACCCAGGCCCCGGACGCGTGTATTTTTACCGTACTACTAATGCGTACAGTCCTAGCACTACGCATGCGCTGCAGCCTACACACAAGTACAACAGTCACCTGTACCAAACCCTAACAGTCAACCTGTAAACGCCGACTCGACTATCTTATATACAAGTGTTTAGATATACCAAAATACGTCTATGGTGT